TTATTATTATATCTTTCGTGAAATTAGTCTCTTATTTGGCACCCATGTTACTTTTATGTTCAAATAATTTTGCATAAAAACCAATGTAATCCTACATTTTCCTGATGATGAAATATCACCGTTTGATGGCATTTGAAATTTGACGTAACCGATAATCCACTACGTCAGCGAAGCGGGGACCCTACGAGTTCCGTGGAGGAGGAGGGGGCGGGTGGGGAACGGTACACACGACCCAGATGGCGACGTGGGGGGCGGGGCCGACACCCACGCGATAAAAGCCGGATCACACCGACGTGGCCCGGGGCCGCGGCCGGGGGCGGGGTGGATCCGCCCAGCGGCAGTCACGGCGGTGGCGCCCTCTTCCTGCTGCAGCTTTCTGGTTGGCGGCGGAGGGCGGGCCCGGCCGGGCCGCGTCGCGCAACGCCGTCTCCATGGCAACGGGCCCGTGCTCTGTGGGGAGCGTCCCGCAACGCGCCACTTTCCAGAGGAGAGAGCGCGCGTCACTCGGCGATTTTATCATTTCAGTTTGGAATCCGAAGTTTGGAAGGCGGCTTACGGAAAATAAAAGTACAGTAGATGTTGTATAGACTTGGATGAATTGCGAATTTTCAGCAAATTCAGAATATATAGCTCGACTAATGATTTCAAAAACACTCACGGGAGAAGCGAAAAGAGGCAGCACGCGTGTCAGTGTGCAAATGCAGGCGATCTGATACACTGTGGCAATTTTTAATTCAGAATATTGAAACAGAGGAATGGAGAATGTTAGCAAAAGTACTTCTAGGTATAAAAATTTATTTTTTTAATATTATCTTAGCTTAAATATAGCTTAACAAATTTACACAGATAGAATCGCTATATTCTATCACCGAATACTGACCCGTTCCTCGGAACAGAGTTTGATTGATATTTAAAAAAACTATTGATACTACATATTATTTTTCGCAGGATACATAATAGCACATACTTACTCGCATTATTTCTGTTTGTAATTTACGAAAATTCAGAGTGTTCAACAAAAATTAGACATGCGCCAGATTTTAAGAGTTGTTGTTCTATCCGTGAAAAAAGAGAAGCATTTGGAGCCGCGTTGAGTTTTTTTTAATAAATTGCTTTAACTTCCACGAGAAATCACGCAAAAACTATGTTTTTCAGAAAATAGTACATGACTTTATTTAAATAAATATTTTAGAACAGATTTTTGTAAGAAAAAATCTCTATCTTCATTATTATACTTATGGAATGATATTTTTTTACTTTTCAAAAATAGTGTTCGTCGAAAATTGGACCAGCGTCAATTTCTGTTCGTTGCTCCTCAATAATATAAAAAATATTGCGTTTTCTAGTAAGATAAACATAGCTTTTTGACTCGTTTTCAATTAACGCACTAAATGCAAAAACTGATTCATATGCACATCGCTAGTACTTGTACGCAATTGTGTCTTTAACGGAAAATTACGTTCCTAGAAGTTGGTCGTGAAGTTAAAAAACGGGATTCCCCAGTTATCTCTAAAGAGATGACGCTATAACATGTTTTTCATTTACTCGGTCATCAGAAAGAATGTACTCTTACTTCTCAGAAAAGTCGCTTTTGACGTGCATTCCTAGCTAAGTTGCTTTTGCGCACGAATGCTTTTGTGAAGTTGAGGCCTTACGTGACTATTTTTAGTTTATCATTGTATTCTGTGTAAAGTACTTGTACAAAATGTCTGACATACCTTAAACCGTTTTATTATATCAGATAATTAAATTAGTTTTTTGAAAAATATATGCAACACAATAAAATATTTCGAGTGAAAGAAAAACCAGGTTTTTGTTTCGTAGACTATCATTGTGGTAGTAACATTTTTGATGTATCATGAGTGAAGGCCCAGGTAATAGTTATGAGCGTGTATGTTTCTATCGGTTGCTAATCCTGCCGAATGATTACTATATTCATCTTTAGATTTGTCCTCGCAGTGGTAATTGGCGAAATATTTCGAACACAAATATGTGGGGCTTTTGAAAAGTGTGCACCGGAGAAATAGTTGTACTGCAACTTATACCTATTATTTTGAAGTTTAATAAGATTATTGAAGTTTGTGACCTGGACTTGTGGGATTAAATATATAATTATCTACAGAAAATTTTAATAAACAACTGCACTCCAATCAGTTTGTATGCCATCGAGTATTCGCGGAAATTAAGTGCTTTCTGTCAAAATAAATCTACATAACAGCTTTCGTCTCATGAAGGAAATGTCACAAAATAGCAGGTGCTATCTAATCACAAGCTTATATGGTACCATGTTGATGTAAGAGCGATTACTTAGCGTTCGGGGGTGATAAGCGGTGTACAAATGTGACGCAACATACGTCACCATGTACACATTATTCTTGATTTAAATATAAGGTCAAGGTAAAAAAAAAAGTGACAAAGTTTTAAGTTTCTTTTATCACGTTTTTAAAGATTTCACGTTTTATAATAATCGAAAAGGTACGTTTGTTAAACATATAACTTAAATGAAAAAAGGAAAATTAATGCTACAATTATGTATTACCAGAAGGTATCTACCTCACCAGCGATCTAATTAATTAATGCTACAAATTATTATTTTACATTATTTTTTAAAAACTTTGAAGGTCCTTTAATTTTTTAGGAACTTATTATCATTGAATAATTTTAAAATTTTCTTTCAAAACCCGGAATGATATTTTGATTGTTAACCTTTTCACAAAAACGTCTAACTTCATTACATAATGATTTAGAGAGTTTTGAAGTGCATATGAGTCATACATATTCGTGGCCCAGAGTTGTTCCGTGTAATGAACATTGGTCGACTTATGGGGTGAGGAAGGGAATAAAAGAGGGGATATGATCGTGGATTCCACTGTTCCTTGTATTTCGCCGGCATCCTTCGGCGATTTTCAAGTAATCCATGAAAACATGTAAGTCGAACTTAAACCATTGTTCTGACACTAGCTACGTTTTTTAAACAGCTATCTCACAAATGACAAAAAAGGCTTTGACAAGAACTGGTACTGCACCTCCCTTGCAGAGAATGTGCTTACATGCAGTGACTCACGTTTCAGGATAAATCACAGTTAAAATATTGTGGTGAAGTAATTGATTTCTGAGTTTTCCTGTTTACATTGAAGATAAATTTCTAACTACATTGTATAAATTATTCGAAACGTTGATGCAATAAGCAAAATAAATACCGTGGAGATTTTACTCTGAACAGCCATTGTTCCCAGAAACTGCCGTGCCGTTATTTAATGTGTAAGTCGTGACCCCGCAACAAATCCGGTTCTCCGGAATTATCGACGACCCGTCTGACCTGAGTTTCTTCATTTCACGTAAGAATAGAAACGAAGTTACGAGCAAGTCTTTCGATAAAAGCTGTGTTTTACAGAATACAGAGAAGCTGATCAGCGGAAGGTGCTTGAAAGAGGTACACGGGTAGTTTTGTTTCTCAAATAGTGAATGCGGAACGCAAGTGTGAGAGTACGCGCATGATAAGGTTCAGAGTTACAAAGCGATGTATTAAAACAAATTATTTAATTCATACAAATGCATTGTAATATGTCCATGCAAAAATAAAAATCCTCATTTTTATTATTTTTGGAGCGAGTTTTCTTTTTTTAACTATCTACATTATTCTCATAAGGGCCACGCTAGTTATGCATATCATCCGGTAACCTCTTGAATACAACAGTATACGATTAAAAGCATTTTTACTATTCACAATATCTTTAATAATTACCTTAATGTTCGACTAAATACAGTGATATTCCTCTACCATGTTGTGAGATACCTTTGATTCGTTGTAAGTGTCCAGTGTGTTCTACGGGAAAGATGTTTCCATGAGTTCCAGTGAAACATGTGCTGAACAGAAAACACTGGGTTCCAGGCGTCCACGTTTGCATTATGTATACAATGTAGCTAGAAACTGATTTCCAATGGAGAGAGGAAATCTAAGAAATCAATTACTTCACCTATGTACTTTACTACCACTTAATCTACCACTTTACCAATTTTTAATATGATTATTGTGAATTTTCTGCGAAGTTATGTTGTTATTGAATAAAACTTTCAACACTTAATATAGTATTCTTGAAAAACATCTGTTGTTTAGGATATAGTGTAGTTGGAAATATCTGTTCTGTAGATTATATTTGACACTAACAAACAATAAAGGTATCCCTCTACATGATATTCTAATTACATGGTAGTGGAATAATACTGTGCTTATACAACCCTTTCGACTATTAAGGTCGTTACAAGGACATCATATACATCGTAAGAAGTGAGGTTTATCGAATATATTTGCAAGCGCACGTTCTCTCAACCGTGATGGGTTTACAGTTACTACTATAGTTGCTGATAAGAAAGGAAATATTTTCCGAAAAAATCTAGATGTAGACTACACTAATCGTTTGTTTGCGTGTTTGTTTTTCAATTAATTTGACTTATTTTACTATTCCACCATATTCACTCACTGTCAGCGTCACATCGTGGTTGGTTCATTAACTGCCCCAGTGCGATACACTGCCGGCAAGCCTGCGTCGTAAATCATCTATTAACTAATTCTTCTGACAATTTACTTCCAAACCGATACCCTCCACGATTGTATTGATAATAAAAGTTAATAATATAAAACTTCGCGAACTCCAAACAAAGTTGGCAATTCTTGAAACCGTGGGTCACTGCTGTCCCAATAGGAATTCGGACTCCAGACACCTGACAAAATACCTGAGCATCCAACGCTTTAAAGCGAGTTTCGCATACCAGCTAGACCCTTTGGAATAACCAGGTTCCAACTAACTTTTCAGTCGTTTTGAGTAAATTGATGTCAAAGTATCTTCTCGCCCCCTCATCAGACATCTTTCGATGATTTTTACAGTAGCCGTAGTTTGTAGCACATGAACGTTCGATTTGCATTAAAAGTTAGATAGAACTTTATCACCCTAACTACTTTTTTTTGTTATCTAAGGTCGCATCAACTACTAGGTCATTAGTGACTACTATTGAGTGTAATGTTATAGCATCTATGAGGATGGCCCGATATGATGATGATAGGGGTGTGAAAGGACGAACACAATACAACTATGCCCGAGGCTGGACTCGAACCCGCGATTCTTCGGCCCGAGATCGCTACGGCACTACTGCCTTAGCGATCTCGACCAACCGGACCGGCACTAAATACTTATTTTCTTCGTTTTTGTCAGTTGGAACCTTGTCATTCCAAAGAAACTAACTGTAAATTCTGCACTGCTGGAAAGGTATGTGCTCTGCGGTGGTACTTGTATATCAGATTTCGATACCCTTGGGTAGGGACCAAACTAAGAGAATGAGAAGGCGATACATAGCTTTACATCTTCGTCTGGATTCCTCTTACTCCCATCATTTGCTTCATCGCCTCTCATCATCCGTCATTCACACATTCCTTTC